TACATGGCACTCAAATGGGAAACCAGTTATATAGTGCCGATTAGATTATTTTTTGGTATCTGACGTACTATGTAACATCATTTCAAAAAGTAAAATTTCACAAAGATATAAAACAGATCACTCTTTAGTTACTTTAACAATAAATGATAATGCAATGACAAAGGACCTGGTTATTCTAAATTAAACAATTCGTTATAAGTAGATGAAAAGTACCAAAGTCAAATAAAAGCAACTATAATCTCAATTTCAGAAATAAATATAACATGCAATCCAAATACTCTATGGGAGGTTATAAAGGGAGGAATAAGAAATGAAACAAATCGATATGCAAGAAAAAAAACCAAGAAAAAAAAGAAGAAAATGAGTTAAATTTGTTGAAAAATTAAAACAATTAGAACAAAAATACTACCTATTAATAAAAATGAACAAAACAATAAGAATCAATTACATAAAGAAATGATATCTAAAAAGCAAGAACTTGAACAAATTTATGAATACTGTGTAAATGGCTTGATTTTGAGATCACGTGCTATTCACATAGAACAAAATAAAAAAAAAGTAAAAACTTTTCAAGCATAAGGAGAAAAATGTGTACATAAATTAAAAGTTGAAAATAATGAAATTACAGACACAAAACAAATATTAAAAGAAGAACAATCATTTTTTGAAAATGTATACAAATACAGAGCACCACAAAGATCAAATCTAAATTTCTTTAATGCAGACATTAAATCATCAAATGAAGAAGAAAAAACACGTGTAAAGGAATATTAAATGAATATTAATGTAAAATAGCTTTATCAGAAATGAAAAAAAAAACATCAAAAGTCCAGGATCTGATCGATTAACCGTCGAATGTTATAAGACATTTTGGAAAAGTATCAAAAATATTTTCTTGATTCGATTTCTTTTTTCAAATATCAAAACTAACAACTCTTCAAAGACAAGGAATAATATCTCTTATACATACGCCAGAAAAAGATCTTACAAACATATCAAACTGGAGACCAATAAGTTAACTTGACGTGGATTATACATAAGCAACAAAAACTATTTCAAATCGCATAAAAAATTTTGCCAACTGTAGTTAATTTCAATGAAAAACCGTTACATTGGTGAAAACGTAAGAAAGATGATTGTAAAAATTGAATTTCTGCAAAATGAGAAGAGACCAGATTTATTATTCTTTCCCGATAATGAAAAAGCATTTGATAGTTTAAATCCTTCTTTGCAGATCATGCAACTTTCGTAAACGATGGTTCAGTTAAATCTTTCGCAAAACTTGTCTATGTGATAACAGAATTTAGTCAAATGTCCGGTTTAAACTTAAATTCAAAGAAATCAACAATATTACGAGTCGGGTCATTTAAAGATACTAAAATAGAATATTGTAAAAATAGAAAATTCATGTGGACATCTGATTGGGCAAAAACGTTAAGCTTTTTATTTTCGTCAGATAACAAGAAAAATACAAACATAAATTTAGAACCTTAACTTCAAGATATTTTTCAATTGCTTAAAGCAGTGACAACACAGAAAGCTTACTCTGATGAGAAAAGTAATAGTGATAAAAACTTTTGCATTGCCAAAATAAAGATATCTTTTTTCAGTATTATCAAACCCATCCGATGATAAGATGAAAGGAATAACTAAAGCGATGTTTCATTTTCTATGGACAGGAAAATCAAAAATAAAAAAAAAATAAACGCAAAACTTTAAAACTTAACATCAAAAATGGTGGGCTAAAATGATAGACATTACATATAATCTTAATGCAGTAAAAGCAAGCTTGGTAAAAAGGTATATTAACAAAGTAAAAGACTTGATTTTACATTCAGCATGAGCACAATAAAAACAAAGATAATTTTAAAGACAATGTATGGAATTATTCTATCAATAAAATTGACAACAAACTTGTTTATTATAAAAAATAGCATGATAAAGGCATACTTTATATAGAACATCTTTAGGAGATTATAGGAGTATAGCCTTTTATAAATATGATACTTTTAAAAAACATTCACGGAATAGAAAATGCTGATTACTTAAGATACTTCATGCTAATAGACAATATACCAAAACAATACTTTGAGAAAATAAAAAACAACACAACTTATATTGAAGAACAATATACGCTTCTCAATAAAATTCAAAAATTTAAAACAATAAATAATTTTTTATAATATATCCAACTTCAATATGATGCGAAGGTAATATGAAAATGAAGAGCAGTAGGAAAAAGAATAAGATATGAATTTGAATTGAAATAACATATATACTATACCACTACAAAGTAAGATGTGACATTAATTTTCATTATAAGTTTATCCATAGACTTACTGTAACAATCACTATGCTTTTCAAATATAAAATATGCAATTCGAATTTGTGTAATTTTCGCTGCAGTAGTTTAGAAACACTTCATCATTTATTTTGAGAAAGTAATATTGTGCAAAATATATGGTCAAACCTACATTCTTTTCTCTAGTCCATCAATCTTCATTTTTCATACAGTAAAGAAACAGTGTTTTTTGGAGAGCTTACAACTAATATAAATAGTTATGTAGTAACTTATATCATTATTCTAATGAAATATTACATTTTAAAAATGAATTACCAAAGAAGTTAGCCAACTTTTGATATTTTTAAAACTTTTTGCTAATTAAGATAGAGATCGAAGAAGCAATTGCATTGTCAAATAATAAAGTTGAATCGCACAAACAGAAATGGAGGAAATTATCTAACACTTAAACAAATAAAACTGATGACAAAAACAATAATTTTATGTAAATTAAAAGTGATTCACTTGTCTCTTCTTTCCTTTCGTGTGTGTGTGTGTGTGTGTGTGTGTGTGTGTGTGTGTGTGTGTGTGTGTGTGTGTGTGTGTGATTTTTTGAGTGTAAGTGTGTTAGTTTTTTGAATGTATGTTTATTTTCTTTTTTATTATTTATTGTTTGAAAGTTTGTTTTTATTTTTTGTTGTGGAGTTTCTGTCGTATTAACCTTATATCATTTGTTGAAATAGGAAAATGTTATTTTTTTTGCACGCTTGTTTGTTTGCTTTTGAGTTAGTGATGTCTGCTTCTTGATTGTAATAAGTGGATGTTTGGTTAATTAATGTGTTTTAAATGAGATAGATATGTTCTATATTTAGTTTACAAATGTTTTATGTAAATGTGAATGATTGTATTTGTATGTTTTGGAAATATGAAATAAAAGAAAAAAACTATATAATAAAAAAAGATATCTATATCATCTTTCTAAAAATAAAAATAACGTACATTTAACAAATCGAACATTTAACTTACACGATGTTTCATCATTCCAATAAGAAATGTGAGTAAGTCGCTGTCAAAAATACATAACATTTCATGGAATGCAACAAACATTCCAAAAACAAAAACTATTCAAGATTCAAGTGACAACATGCCCATCAAATGATATATAGTGAGTAAACGGGTGCAAATCAAAATATGTTTCATTTTGTCATTATTCCCTTCAATTTTATAATTTAGATCACATAAACAATATATAACTCACATATCCAAATGAAATGTCTGTAAATATCAATAGGAATTTACCAATAAAGCTTAGTTTATAAAAAGAGTGGGGCATTCTTTTTATATTTTAGGCAGATTTATAATTTTATCCTGAGCATTTTCCAATATCAACTGTAGGTCAAACACCATTTTGACAGTCAATCTTTTCAAATAAAAAGTCAATTCAGCTCCACTTGACTATGAAAATATGAGCATAATGTCACTTTCAGCTAAACAAAACAAAACAAAATATGAAAACGGTAAAATATGAAACATATGCTTAGGAAAACAAGCATATTGCTGTCATAAACGGTTAACATCTCCTGAGTGAAAAATACATGTTCCGCAGGAAAAATGATCATATTATAGTTTGTAAAAATAATAAAGCTTTCGCATAGGAAAAGAGCCGTCAAAATTTATTTGCAATTATACCAGGAAGGCATGGATTTGCTATACAAATATCTTTTATTAGATAAATTGCACGTGAAGCAAAATGATTTTAAGGTTTTTGTGATAATTACTAGATCATATCAATCAAAAGTAACATATTATACCCAATGCAACGAAACAACAACAAATAACTTTTCATTCAATAGCTATATCTAAAAAAAACTTACACTTACACGACATATTTGCCTTTTAACCCTTTACCACATATATACGCGAAACAACGCACTTTCGACCCCCCCTTTTTTAGGCCTCAAATAGTGAAAAAATGTCCTATTTGGGCCCCAACATAAGTTTTCGTTTGAGAAATGTTGCTAAAAAAATTGAGCACTTTTTCGGCGCCGCCCCCCATCCTAAAGATACATCAGGGGGGCGCCAGAAGGGGGATGTGCCCCCTTCTGTTAGGGGAGGTTTGAAGGGGGGCGGAGTCCCCCTCATCGCCAAGAAAATTTTGGACTTGTGAGAGGCTAAAAATGACCCCAGGTCGGTCATAATATAACGTTTAACCAACGCTGAAAAGCATTTAACTCTATCTCAATCCCTTGAGCAGTTACAGCACTTTGAAATAAATTTTGATGGAAAAAATCGATGCAAAATAGTGATTTTTGGCAATTTTGAGATGTCCCCTCGTTGCCATGGTAACAGGAAATTTAAGACTGAGCATGTCGTTACAAAGGCAATGGTCCAGTCAACAAAAAATTATTCTCACACCTATGTTATAGATCAGCACTAAAATTGTACAATGTTAGGACTATAACTATTTTAAAACCTCTTATTTTGCGTATTTTTGTGGATTTTTTTGTATTAAATTATGGAAAAAGTTCAAAAGATAAGAGCATAAATGAATCATATGTAATTGTAGGTAAGAAATGTTTAAGCATTTCTAATGTGATCGAAATTTACAAAAAAAGAACAATAATAATAATAAAATAATAATAAAATAATAATAATAAAATAATAATAATGAAAATAATAATAATAATAATAATAATAATAATAGAATATTTCTGGAGAATATCATATGATCATGCGATTGAAATACTGAGTTAATACTTGCATTTTTTAGAACACTAGTTTTCGGACACACTTAGTTCATTGACATTATGAATCAAAAGAATTCAATGTCACTTTGAGTAAGCTTTTCTAAATAACTAACGCCACTTCTTAACCTAAGGGTTTGGTAAAGATCTTGCTTATCAACTTGTCCAATCACTTTTGAAATTAGGTCAACATGGTTACCGTCTTCGTGGTCGAAGCATACCATAGCTCCACTGTCACCAGGTTTACAAAATGGAACGGCTTCTTCTCTACTTTTAACATATATGAATCTGTTATTTTCATTTAAATCGTCTGCCTCAGCTTCTTGTTGCGATTCTTGTGATAGTTCAGCACCTTCTACAGATGCAACAAATTTTCTGGTTTTGTAATGTGTTGTAGCAATTATTCCAAGACCCTTTGATGTGTGAGCACCACTCATGTGCACGTGTTGACAATCAAGTAGACTATCATCATTTTCATACATTATGCCCTTCATTAACGTTCCATCTTCTGTTTTGAATCTTCCATCACAGTACGATTCATCTTCCTTCTTGATTCTGGCTGCAGCAATATCAAACTTCATATTGACGTCACCAAAAGGAGCTGTTTCTTTAATAACATCAGCTTTTAAAGTTCGTTTTTCGGACATAATTTCAAGCGTTTCTTGACCTTGGAGCAGATGTTTTGATGCAAGCGAACAATACGTTCCCTCTTTCTGTGTCTTCGGTGTCATTTTCACAAAACTCGTTAAACTACCAAAGTTCTTGTGTCCATTAACTCCCACCTTTGATCCGGAAAGTATTTTGCAAAATGGCTTCACATCAACAAGCGGTGAGACTACATCATAAGAGTCTGATTTAAACCCATGTTTGTTAAGTATTTCAACAATTTTTGGTCTCAAATTCTCGATATCATGGCTCAAAACGTGGATCTGTAGTCTTGTGATGAACTTGAAGCTGTACCCTCTAACTGACGGGCTTAATTGATACAAACTCTCTATAACCTGCAAGTAGATAAATGTGAACACATAATATTAAGATAACAACAGATAAACAGTAAAGCATTGATCAACGATTAATTTTTGCACTTAATATTTCAAGTATTGTATAAGAGGTTTTCGTGTGCATGCATATCCTTCTGAAAGAACTGCCTTGCAACGTTGATTATTTATTCTAGTCTTTAGTGTTTCGAAATGTCATGATGTTTCAGAAAAAGATAAAATAAATGAAGTGCATAGTTTTAGAATATTGTAGGTTGGTACCCGTTTATTTGAAACATATACAAATGAAAGCACAGAATGTTGTATGTTAGACATTCATGAAATATTCCATTAATTATCTTTTGTCTGCCGTAAAATATAAGTTTGATTTCCAAACATTGTTACATTTTTTATAAGCATTTATATTACTGTTATTGTATGTTAAATATTTTTTTCGTATTCGTATGCTTGTAAAAAAGGTGTTATCAACTTAAACATATTATGGAATACGTTGTCTATTTGCCTCTTAAATAAATTTAAATAAAGCACATATAATTTTCTTTGAATAATATGACATAAGGCTATTAAATCTAACAAAGAACGTCCAATTATATTAATAGGGTAAGGAAAAATTATGATCAAGTCTCTTTTTCGCAAACAGACTAACCAAAAAAGATCGTCACTATAAACAAGGATCTTTCTGATCTTGGTATGCTTTCTATGACCTGATTTTATACCTTAATTATGTATTTTTTAATGAAGTTCTAAATTTAGTAAATGTATCAAATACTCTATTAACAAACATGAATCAAATAAGAAACAGGACTTAAACCTTTCATAATTAATCAGTAACTATCAGTGGCTATAAGACACAATCGAACTAAAATAATTTCTGTATAAACACCAAAGTCTTTCTTATCATGGTCACATATGATTAAATTCTTAAAATATTAGAATATGTTGATTTGCAAATGTTTAATCACTGACGATGTGTTGCACCTTAACACTTTTGCTGCCAGAGGGTTATTTTTTATTTATTGATCACCTCTTTGCCAGAAGGTTTTCTAAGAAATTACTATAGTGTTAATATATATAATTAGTATTTGTTATTAGTATCATAATAATAATATATGTTTCCAAATCTGCTAATATATAATAAGAATTGTCGATGGTGTAATTATCTTTATATTCATTATTATAATTATTATAATTATTAATATTATTATTATTATTATAATAATTATTATCATTATTATAGAAACGGCAAAATGCGTCCATATGCCAAATACGTCGAAAATAATGGCAGTGAAAAGGTTAACGTTGAACATATGATTTCACCGCATAATCAATACTCAAATTTCAGCTGGAAGCCAAAACTTAAACTTAAACGCTTATTTAGGATATTGTCAGAAAATATAAAATAAACATTCTCTTTACAAATATTGGCAGTTTTTGTTGTTAGATAATGGGATAATATAAATATATGCATACCTGATCACTTACTCTATCCTCTAGTCCATCTAGTTGTGGTTTTAAAGTTTCAGGAAGTCGGCTTCTTCTATACATTCCAATCATTTCCCCTAATAAACGTTGAAAATCTTCTTTGTTTTCTCGAAATTTCCTATTTGACTTTTCATCTGAATTAAAACATTCATAGAAATATAAATTCAATGAAGTTTTAATAACACTTACATAAAACATACAGAAACAGAAAATGCATTGGGTAGCGTTATAGTATACTTATAAATGCATATGAAGATGCAATTATCAAATGTGTCTGTTGGTGTACCAAGCTGTTTGTTATACACTGCCAGTTTTCAGACCTACTTGATTCATCTTCGGTATGTATACACTCCCTGTGAATTGGTAATGATAAGTATTAGTATTCAAATGCGATTAAATTTTACAAAGTTCTTTTTTCGACTGTCATTGCTATGCAGTAATCCACTTCCCTGTTAAATTTGGCTTAATTTTCCTTTATTGGCAGAAGATTTTAGTTTTGATACTAAAATGAAAATATTAACATTCCAAAATTATTTTTATTGTACAGAAAAGGTTTATCATGTGAAATTGTTTATATCTAAACATTTACACATTAAAATAATCAACATTAAAAACAAATAAAGGTCATCAAATTATCGATTTGCATACCAATAACATCCTCTTTGTGTAGGTAATCTAGTTGTCATAGGCAACCTTTCTTTGACAAATGTTTATCTGAATTCTTTAGAAACGGAACACTTTTATCAAACACTTAAATTTTTTGCAATGAAACATGCGTTTTATATCGAAGCGGATTTTACAGTATTCTTATTTGAATACTCTATAACCAACTTGGATATGTTTCTCTTTTTTAATTTGTCTTTTGTAATTTATTTGTGGTATGCAGGGGTTACATATTTTCTGATGCCCTTTCAAATTCCATTTTAATAAGTTTGGTCTATTGTGTTCTCGTTTAACACATTACTTCTTGAGCATTTTGTGAAAAATGGTTGTTTTCATTAAAAAGTATCCCGTTACAAGTTCAAATTGCTATAATACTATAAAAACTGCTTCAACACTAATCAAACTTGGCGAAGATGTTGACTGGACAAAATTGCCAAAAATCACTATTTTGCGTTGATCTTTTCCATTATAATTGATTTCAAAGTGCTGCAACTTCTTAATGGATTAAGATAGAGTCAAATGCTTTTCAGCGTTGGTTACATGTTACCTTATGATCAATCTGGGGTCATTTATAGCCTCTCACAAGTCCAAAATTTTCTTGGCGATGAGGGGGACTCCGCCCCCCCTTCAACCCCCCCCAAAACAGAAGGGGGCACATCCCCCTTCTGGCAACCCCCTGATGTATCTTTTGGTTGGGGGCCGCGCCGAAAAAGTGGTCACTTTTTTAACAACATTTCCCAAACAAAAACAAGTGTTAAGGGCCTAAATAATGCATTTTTCACCATTTGAGACAACAAAAAGTGGGGGGTGAAATAGGCGTTAAAAGGCGTGTATATGAAGTAATGGGTTAAGCAAACGCATTATTTCACTTTAGGATTATATGCCGCTTGGAATGGCACTAACGTGAATCCTTGATGGTGTCATAATAACCACCGCATAAACACTATATGATGTCTTGAAAATGAGAATTTTACCAAAAGTTAAATGTTGAATTATGCGTTAACAGAGGAAAATGGTTCGGATGGTAGCTTGAATATTCATGTTCTGACAATGAACAGGCTAAATCAAACAGAGTCAGCACCATTTTCAACCGTTTTGGACGGTCTTTGGGGAATTTAATGTTTTTATTTTCAAAATTTTAACTTTTCTAATATTTCAAACTTGATGTTAGGACCTTTAAAATGAAATATTTTCTTTGATGTTTTAAAATAATATAGGGTATCTGAGGCAAACCCACCGGCAGTTCTTCCGTACACAGTTCCACTTCTTGTTTTTCGAATGCTTGCATAGCTGTCCACAAATTGAGCGTTTGAACTCCCTGTCAAATATTTATATCCATTTTTTAAACTTTATCATATGCCTAATTTAAATAAGATCTATAACGTTACAATATATACGTGCAGTCCTTACCGTTAGTACAAAAATCTTAAAGAATGGATAAAACTTTGATACCTTAATTCAATGGTTATGAGATAATGTCGATATGGTTTTTCTATAGGTACACCCAGACAAATAAGATAATGATGTTAATCCAGACAACAGGTAGTTGTTTGAGAAATATATATCATTTAACAAACAATACTATTGGAAACGCGTACGATTCACAAGAGATATGTAGTTATTCAATGTTTATAAGACTATCCCATTTTCGGGATAGCCTCTCTTAATGTTACCCCAAACAATAATAACGCATTATACTTCTTAAAATATATGTGTTGTTAATTCATGATTCAATTAAATTGGATATAATAATATCTTTCTATAAGTTTCAAAGACAAAATGAAACAGCAATAAGAAAGTTCAGACAATTTTACTTTGGAGAAACAAATCAATATTTAACAGGATATGGTAGAAAAACATATTTTGTCATTTGTTAACTGACATTTGAAATTCCGATCGCAGTTTTATTATGTTCGATTTCATTGCACGCTCCACTAAGTCATATATTAAAATATAAATATAAAATTAAAACGCTATACAGTATTGGTGGCTGAAAATGACGTGAATATCTTTTATACATAAACAGGTCGCCCCTTAAAAAGCCAAGCACTGTAACTTTATTCAAACTTCTAATGCAGATCATTCTAGAATATAATAATTAACAGAGTTATGTTGTATATAATAAACTACATATTCATGAATTCATGAATTACTACAGTGAGAATTACATTAAAATGAATTTTGAAATGACTTTATTGGTATCTTCCATCAAACATTTATAGAAAAACTTGAAAAAAGAGTGTTTTATTATGCACAAAGCACACTAAAAAAATAAAAACCATTATTTTTTTCACTATCGTCACTTGAGAAGGTACACGTTCCGTTTTTATTTCTTGTTCGCATTTTTCTATCTAAAGACACATTGAAAAGTTGAAAAGGAGTAACGTTTGCAACTAATGCAATATTCTCCAAACATTTACATTCAATCATATTCATAAAAAGAAACATTTGATTGGAATTCTAAATGTAAATGTAAAATCTTAAGTAGCATCATGTGTAACTATTTCTATTACTGTATGCATTTACTTCCATACGTCAATATATATCTTTTTATTTCCTACATGTGTCGGATGCATGCAAGTCGACTTTTTCAAAATAATTCTAGATTAAATTATAACAAATTATTGATTTTTTAGTGTACATTTTTTGCTTGAGGCGGAAACAATTCATAAAGTCGATCGTGTTTTTGACCCCTTTCATAGAGATTGGAGTATATTGGTTTGCAAATTTCGGTTCGATTGCCGTTATAACGTGAAGTCGGCCGACCACTTCGTTTCCGTTCATAACTTGAGCATTTGAATCAAACCTTTTAAGTTCATAAGATGATCGGTATTAAGTAAATGATCTCTATTGTTTTGGCGCCAATAGCTATAGGTCAAGCTTACAATGATATTAAATGTGATAACAGTTTCTGCTAAATAACAAAAGAAACATTTGACAAAAAAGCTCTATCATAATCATCCTCATTGAGTGAAATACTCATGCGTTAAGATCAATATCATATAGAGACCTTCAATAACTAGAAAATTTTTTGACACACAGCCTTCAAAATATATATATAATATCAATTACAAAATCATCACCCTTTTGAGTGTGAAAACAGTTTCTTTTCTCAATTACTAGAGAACTATTTGACACACAACTTTCAGGATTCTATATGCATCAACCTTAATTAGATGTTTAAAGGACAATGTTACAGTGGTTTCGAATGTTAAAGGTCTTTCCGCTCAATAATTTGAAAACAATTTGATTATCCTTTATTTATAAAATCGACAGTAAACACAAGCAAGAAGAAACGCATTACATTTCTTAAAATATATTTGGCATTGATTCATATTTCATACTAATGGACTATAATTTTATATATCTTTTAAGTTTTAAAGACAAAATAAAAATTGCAATGATCAAGTGCAGACAATTTTACTATAACCAAATAAGAAAATTTCATTTTTTTTTTAATAGTATAAAGTAGAAAAACATATTTTCTCATTTGTTAACTTACCTTTGAAATTCCGATGTGCCGTTTTATCATGTTCATTTTCATTGCACTTTCCGCTAAGTCCTAGATTAAAATATATATATTAAATTAAAACCTATTAAATTATGGTGGCTCAAAATGACGTGAATATATTTTATACATAAATAGGACTCCCGTAAAAAGCAAGACAAACGTCATATGCTGATCATATTAGAAAATTATAATTTATATACAGGTTTTGTATTCATATTACATACTACAGTGAAATTACATTCGAATAAATTTTGAAATGACTTATGGTATTTTCCAGCGAACATTTATAGAACAACGTTGAATAGATGACTTTGTACGTATAAAGCACACTTGAAAAAGTTTTCAAACCTTTCATTTCTTCTGTATCGTCATTGGAGAAAGTACACGATCTGTTTTTAGTTTTTGTTCGCATTTTTCCTCCTTTGCTGTGTGAATCATTCGTAGAGCTTGATGGTGTTGAAACTTTACATCAAAAGTAGAATTTTAAAGAGCCATATTGAAAAGTCGTAAATTCCCAAAGTTTTGTATAATCATTTTTATGAAATGAAACATTTGATTGAAATTCTAAAGGTCTAATCCAAAGTATAATCATGTGTATTTTATGTGTATTTCTATAACTGTATGTATTTTATTTGCATACGTCAATACTTTGTATTTCCTATATAAGTCGACGTTATGAAAATAATTCTAGATTAAATTGTAACAAACTTTGGTTACTGATTGTATTTAGTATACAGTTTGCGCATGTGGCGGACAATATTCATAAACTCTATCGTGATTTTGACCCCTTTCGTAGAAAAAGAGGATATTGTTTTGCAAGTTACGGTTCGATTAAACGGTAAAACTGGGTTAGATGGTCGACCACAATGTTTCCGTTCATAACATGAAAACCATTTGAGCCGTGTCATGACAAAACCAACATAATGGGTTTGCGACCAGCATGGATCCAGACCAGCCTGCGTATCTGCGCAGTCTGATCAGGATCCATGCTGTTCGCTTACAAACTCTATAACCAGTATAGAAACAGATAGCGAACAGCATGGATCCTGATCAGACTGCGCGTATACGCAGGCTGGTCTGGATCCATGCTGGTCGCAAACCCATTATGTTGGTTTTGTCATGACACGGCTCATTTGTGTCACACCCTCCAACCTTCATAGGATAATCGCCCTTATTTAATAAATGATTTCATTTGTGTTGGCGCCAATAGCTGTAGGTCAAGCTTACAATGATCTTGAATGTAAAAAATAACAGTTGTTGCTAAACAACAAAAGAACCATTTGACCAGATCATCCTCATTGGGTGAACAACTATTGCGTAAAGATCAATGCCATATTAGAGACCTTCAATAACTAAAGAACTCTCTGACTCACAGCTTTATCAAATATGATAAAATACTTCACAGAATCATCACCCTCCTCCTACTGTTTTGCAGCTTCTGTGCATGTTGGTTAAGGTTAAATGTTTTTTGAGTGTGAAAACAGTTTCTTTTCCCAATAACTAGAGAACCATTCGACACACAGCTTTAAGGATTCTATAAGCATAACCCTTACCAGGATGTTTTAAAGGACAAGGTTACAGTGGTCTTGAATGTTGCTCAATAATTTGAGAATCATTTTATTTATCCTTTTTAAATTATAAAATCGGTAGTAACCGCAAGCAATTTAAAACGCATTACATTTCTTGAAATATATTTAGCATTAATTCATATTTCATTTTAATGGAATATTATTCTATATATACATGTTTTATAAGTTTCAAAGACAAAATGAAATTGCAATAACTACGTGCACACCATTTTACTATATAGCCGAATAAGAAAATTTTAAATATTTAACAGTACATGGTCGAAAAAACATATTTTTTCATTTGTTAACCTATTTTGAAATCCCGATGTGCGGTTTTATAATGTTCAATTGCATTGTACTATCCGCTTAGTCCTAGATTCAAATATAACTATAGAATAAAAAAATACTTAAAATCATGGTGGCTCAAAGTGACGCGCATATCTTTTATATAGAAGTAAGTCCCCCCCTTATAAAGCAAAGAAGTTTAGCTTTATTGAAACGTCTTATGCAGATAATTCTAAAAATATTATTATTTTCATATTCGTGAAATACTATCAGTGATAATTACTTTAAAATGAATTTTGGAATGACTAAATTGCTATCTTCCATTCATCATTTATAGAATAACGTGAAATAGATCGTTTTGTTTTGTTAAAAGCACACTTGAGAAAATTTACAAACCTTTCAATATTCCACTGTCGAAATCGGAGATGTTTAACGTTCCGTTTTTAGCTCTTGTTCGCGTTTTCCTTTCTTGATTGTAGGCGTCATTCGTAGAGCTTGATTGTGTTAATACTAAACAAAAAGGTAAAATTTTAAAGAGCCATATGTAAAAGAGGAAAACTTCCTAAATTGTTATCAGAGCTGCATCAGTACTAAGGGCAAATTATGCAGTACCATAACCAGTACCAGTATTAGATTTTAGCTCGGTACTGCAGTACCAGTACTTTTTGAGGGAAAGTAATTAAGTATCAGTACCATTAGTTTTATATATTCATCAAAGTTTGGATGAATACATAGTGTCAAACAAATATTTGCAAATATTATTCAGCAAAGAAATAAAAATCACAATTTACTTTAAAGTTAACATAACATTTTTACAACTTTATTGTTTTAACATACTTTATACAAACAATATTTACAACATATATTCATCTCATATCTTATTGTTTAGTAACCAGTAAACTGTAATACATTGCAATCATCTTTCATTTAAAACACAACAGTCTTTTGATGCCTTTCACACCTTCACACCTATGTTCAATTTATACCAAAGTAAATAACAACTTTTTATGGTGCTTACAATATCACTTGAAATAGGATTATTTAGAATAGAAGCATAATTGCTTCTAGTGACTATTTTGCTCTTTTACTAGTAAATGCAAAATAAAAAAATATTTTAATAAGGATATTTTAGGGTAAAGAGTTATTGAGTCTATTTATCTCAATTTAAATTTTACTTAATGTCGTTGGTGCCTTTTTATGATGAATACTATGTTAACATTTGAAGGAATATTATAGATTTGATTACTTTTTCACAAAAATAAAATAATGTAATTTACAGCTTTATTTTATAAGAAAAATTGATGCTATATTTATCAAAACCGAAAATACTGCATTGTAATGCAGTAGCAGTACCACTTTTTAAGACAGTAATGCAGTACTGGTACCAGTAGAAGCTAAATTTTTTAAGAGTAATTCAGTATCAGTACCAGTACTTGCAAAATCACTGCAGTACGTACTGCAGTACCAGTAACAGTAATGCAGCTCTGATTGTTATACACTCATGTTCACAAAGAAAACATTTGACTGGAACTTAACATACTTTTATGTGTATTTTATGGGTATTTCTATAATTGTATGTATTTCACTTGCATAAGTCAGTACTACTTTTTTATTTCCTATATTTGTTCGCTTCATTCAAATTGACGTTATGAAAATAATTCTAGATTAAATTGTAACAAACTTTGGTTACTGATTTTATGTAGTACACATGTTTTGCGAGGGACGAATAATATTTATAAACTCTATCGCGTTTAAACCCCTTTGACGTTAATGTGGTATATCTTTATGCAAATTCGGTTGATCTGTAGGTATGATGATTGATCGGTCAGTCGGTCGATATAATACTTCGCTTCCGTTCCAAACCTATACAATCATTCAAGAAACAGCCTTCATAATTTTATAGGATGATAAACCGTTATAGGCATTTTGAGTGTGAAAAACGTTTGAGTTTTATATCAAATGAACTATTTGAACAAAAACCATCAACGGTCATATCATTATCATCCTCATTAACATGACAGTCGACAGTTATTGAATATAGTCTCCCATTGCTTGATTGAATGTGCAGGTACAGGATACAGTGATATTTTGATTGTCAATAAGTTGAAGAAAACTATTTGATGCATAGCCTCATAACTACAACGGAAGATCAGTCTCATTGATAAGAGAAACCATTTTGTTTTGAGCACATGTACATGAATTAAAGCATGTGTAACAATATAGATCATTGTTTGTTAGTCTATAAATATTACTCATGCAAAATGTTATATCCTTTCTTGCGTGTTTTGTTTTTAAAAGATATATTTAGATTAAGTAGGAAAATGAAAATAAAAAAGGTTTTTGACATGCAATTTGGCATTGACAGCATGGCTGTTCTGATAGCAATAATGTGAGTTATGAATGTTAACGTCATTTGTTAAGCAGCCAGTTTTATAGCACAGATTAAGGGGTGAAACGGTTGGTACACTTCTATTATATTTAAGTCCGACTGGCTAAAATTCTTAAGCATGCGAAATGTGTCGCGAAAAGGTAAATGCTGTTGTATTTTCTCCTTTCTCTCTCATTTCACATAATTTCGACAGCACGAAAATACGCCTTAACTGTAACTAGATTATTTTGCATTAATGGTTTGTATATATTGTGACTAAATTGCTAGAGGTCAGCAACACAGGGGATACACAAAAATTGTTCAATAACTCAAAGCGTCATTGTTCATTGCCTACGACTTTAAACTAACAATAATGATAAGTAAACGGACCAATCAGGGGCGTACCTTGGCTTATTTTGAGTATACGCCGATTACATCCCCTTGGGCCAAAGTGTCCTATTTGCATGAAGTCTGACGTGAAGACGTGCTTTTACAAAATAATTAAAAAAGTTATTTACCATTGGGAAAACAAAATATAGCCAGTTACCCCTTTTGTAATCAAGATGGTTATTTTTTTTTTCTTTTTTTGTTTTTCAATATACCTAGACATGAAATCATCGTTGGAAACCACGGTACACATTCCGAATATACTACATTTAATACATGTACATGTATACTGTAAAACGCCTGGGTAACCGAGGATGACATGAGATATAATCAAGGGAAATATTGCTTTAAAACGCATTTACCATTAGAAAAACAAAACAAAGCCAGATATCTCTATTCTAATCAAGATGTTTAAAACAAAATGTTTTGTTTCAATTTTGTCTTTATTTCAACAAACCTAAACATGAGATATAATCAAGAAACAAGGAAAATATCGCTTTTAAAACGATCTGTATGACCATAAAACGAACACATCAGAATAACTGTATAAGTGTAACAATAATCTATAGCATCAAAACCACACCTTAAAATACGCGATCAAATAGGTACATAAAAAAATTAATAATTTTAGAAGTGCATTATGTCAATATTAGAGCATAATTGTTTTTGACAATTTTTCCTCAATTCTACTCTTTAAGATTAATCCGATATATTTTAGTTATGTTATTACGCAGTTGAAATTAGTGGCTTACTAGTCTGGCAGAAATTCAAGTCAAAACCTAAAACAATGAAAAATAACATAGAGGATTTTGTATCGCATACAAATATTTACAAATGAAGAGGAAAATTACCGTTTTTTCAAAGCAAGAGTGGAAACATATTTGTAAAAAAAAGTTTTGTAAAAATGAGAAAAAAGAAGAAAAAACATTCTCTTATGTGGCTTTATTTTGTTTTTATTGTAATTTTATTTCTGTTCTATATGTATATATAGATGTGACTATTAAAAATACATAAAAGATGTTATTGTTTGCAGAAATATGCAACTCCTGTCTATAGTCAATGAAATATGTTTAAATAGCTTTGCATAGTGATATGTCTTGAAAATCTACTATTTTTACGGACATTTAATTAAAAATGTTATTTACAATAAAGTTTTATTCGGTTTGTGATAATAGTTGTTGGCAATTGTTTGCTGCTAAGATCAGATTTATAGGACCCAAAATATTCTACACAATTTCAAATGAAGATGACATGAGTGTGACAGACTAATACATTGACAAACAATTACAAGATTAAATATGAAAAGGCTGACACGTATTCCTTTGTACTACAAAAGTTCCAGACAAACATAAAGTTCAGTAAGGTTAATAAGCATAAAAACATTAACTTTTTTTAGTTTTAAAAATTATTATCCTTAATAAAATCCACATAGGGTTGTGTAATTTGAACTTTTATTGTAATTCAATCTACTTAAAATTGATTATTTGTATTACAAATAAAAAACACAAAAGAAAATTCTCGCTAAAATGCCTTACCGTGTTCTTTTCTCTTACATGAATTTTCTTCACTCACCTTTGATTGTATGAACATATATTTGACAAAAGTTACATCGTTAGCATATCTATGGAATCAATAAGCAGCTACGCAATAATTTTTTGTCACGTCATTTTTTTAAATTTTAATTTCTCGAAACTCTATTCATTGAATATGCCCGTGCGCATTGGCGTATCGGCAGGTACGCCACTGCCAATATACTTTAGAAAGTAAATAGCGCATACGTCAGCTAGTGCATTCATTTACCTTTTCCTAAACAACTTAAAGATATCCTTCCCTTCCAATATTGATTGTGAAAAGGATAATCTTACTACCAATTTAAGGGTATTTTTTGATAGAACTAACAATTACCGTACAATAGCCGTTGTATGTCATGCAAAATCAACAGTAGGAACCTTAACATCTGGCCTCAGAAAAAGGGGTCAACGTTTTTTATAATCGATTGCTCGAAAAAAAGCATACTTCCAACAACATTTCAAGTAGCAAGACTTGGTTTCATTTCAGTAGCAACATAATTAATCATATTTTCCAGTAAGTCACCGAGACTAAAAGACTAGTAAATGTAATGTGACATGATTGTACTGTGTTCTGTTTGTGTCACTACTGTAGTCAGTAACATAAGATAATAAAAATATCAAAGTCTGTTTTTTTATTATTATTATAATTGTAACAAATATACAAATAGTAACAAAATGGACTAATATTATAATATAGTAATATTACATGCATTTTCTTCATGTCAAATTTAAAAAAAAAGTTTCTTTCAATATTGAAAGTAGAACACACCCTGGAATGAAAAAATGGGATGAATTTCAAAAAGACCAAATTCAGGATTTCTTGTTTGTTATACATGCGTTACATGGGGGTACAGTATTTATCAATATAAAAGAAGACTGTTACCTGAATTTTAGGCAGGTATGAGGAAATTCACCAGCATCATGTTCGTGCGAGTCAAAGATATAAAAGCTATTTGACATTGGCGATATATATATATAAAAACTATTGTTAATTGATTTGTTAGGAGATCAATATACCTTTTGTTGAATTGCTTTAAAACCATTCATAAAAAACATTACATTTCATGTTCAAACTACAGATCAAAGTTTTTGTTGTTATCAATGATGCTATCTATCTATCTGTCTATAGCCTATGCTTAGTGAGGGTCCATCCGCTCGTAAGGCGACAAAATGCAGCTTTCGCTGTCGAGTACGGACCACCACGGACATGTCACCAGTCATACCCTTAAGGAGTTATTTTGAAGCACGAGTGGTATGCATTACCAAAGGCGCCAATGAAATGTAACCTTATAAACTTAAGTTTAATTATTACAAAACAACCAATATATCAACATGTTATTATTAAACATTTAATTTCATAAATATAAATAAAGAATAATTATCAAAAGCAAAATTATAAAAGTCTTATGACTGAAATCTTCTTTATATTGACACATTCAATCCCTAATAATATACTTGATATGCTGTGTGTGAATGTAATTCAAAATGTAACAAATTATAATTTCATGTACTACTTAAAAGGGGAAATAACAAATTTATAACCTAAGTGTCAAAAAAATCAAAATATTTCTGGCTATTTATAGCTTTCGAATTCATGTACAGCAAAACTGTTTTCCAGTTTTCATTCATTAATATTACATGCCTCAATCCCAGAAGGAGAAACCAATAGAGAAATCGAAAGGAGTTATTAAATGCGGATTTATTTTTAGCTGTAAATCGAAGGGATTTATTGATCAAATCCGGGCCCATGGACAAAAAAAATAGTAAACACAAATGACTCCTCGCGACGATATTTCCCGGATATTTTATGTACTCTTGTCGCATCATTAAAGATTTGTTGTCAAAGATGCATCAGTTCCGATGCTGAACATACACGGGGTTGATCGTTTTAACTTTGTTGAGAAAACATCTTTGTCCAAGACGCTTGTGATGCAACCTTCTATCAATTATATAAAGAACTGTTTCTCGTGGAATATTCTTTTCATAAAATATATACACTGTTAAATTATTTTGATTCAATTACCTCACGGGAAATCCTTAAAAGAACTGTATCTTAGATTGTCTATTTTAAAATTATTTACATTTCAACAATTGTACGTTAATCACAGTCCGCAACAAGAAAATTATGCTGCTGGTTTGAGTTGGGGTCCTCTCTGTCTGTGTGTGCGTGTGTGCGCGTGTGTTGGTGCGTGCGTGCGTGCGTGTGTTTCTGTCTGTGCGTTTGTGTATGCGTCTGTGTGTGTGTATGTGTGTGGTTATTTTTGCTTTGTTCTTTTTTTTTCGTATTTTCGTTTTTATTTTTTCATTCAGTAATCATTTCATGCATGCGTAATTTCTTTGATGCATGCAATATTTAATCATTCTTCGTTAAAAAAAGTAAACCAAATAAAATGTAAACTATATTACTGAGACATTTGCTAAATTACTGCCGTCACAAAATAAGGTATGGAAATGCATTGTGTTTCAGGCAAAGTTGGAAAGGTAACGCTGATATGAGTAAATTTAGCCGTGAGACAAAGCTACAATTTCGTTATGCCATATACACATTACATGTCTTTTTAATAGTGAGCTTTTGTAAAGTGAGTCACTTAATTTGAGGATGTGTGTATTGTTATTTTTGTCATATAAAGATTACATGTAATTGACGTATGTTGTTCATTTTAGTTCCTTCGCTGGACTATTTGGTCAAATGCGTTTATCTCAAGGGAAACTGTTCCTTCAGTTTTCAAATCAAAGCCAACCAACTTCTCCTTTTCCGAAAGTTAACACAATGGTCCATCTCAAGTTCGTTTGAGTTACACATGTTTAAAATGCAATACAATTCATGTTATAAATATTTGGCTCTTATTACATCATTTAAAATTAGTTTTTTTCTTTTTTTGCATACGAACATTTCTAATTTTTAATTTTTCAGAGATAAAAATATAAAACAGGTTAATATAACATGTGCAAACAGTTTAATCATACAAAATAGTCTGTAAATTTTCATAATTTGTCTGTTAATAACAGAGAAATGAATTTGACAAATTTCAACTCACCTTTCCTTTTTGCATGCATATGTTCTTCCTTTTCGAGACACTTTCTTTTAAGTCCTGGATATACATACGTTGAAATATAAGCCATTTTGCAGCAAAAATAAATGTCATTAAATGGTGTTATTAATTGTTTTAGATAACAAGTGTATTGAACTGCAATTACTGTTACAGATATAAAGCAGATTCATGTAAATCAACAAAAACGTAAAAACTATGCTTTAAGCAGATCATATTAGTATATTTTTTCAACTTAGGCTAATACACGTACTCATTAAGTGATACAAAAGGTATAATATTAACTTATTTCAACTTTGATATACTGGCATGTTTAATGGAACTTTTAAAAATATAATAGTTAAAGTTAATAAATCGATTTGTCATGCATAAAGTACTTAAGAACATAAAACAAACCATTTGATTTATGTCTGTCAAACGAGAAATCGGCGGATGAACTTATTCCCTGTTCAATGTTTTCCCCCAATTTTCCTTCATAACTGGACGATCCATTCGCAGACTGTGATTGTTCGGGTACTTAAAAAGAAAAGGGCAATCAATAATTATTAATATTCTACATTTTCATCAAATTCAATACAATAATACAAAACAGTTTGAATGGTTTAATTTTTGCATCAAAATTATGCAATTTATCAACGTTTAAATATCGCTGTTCCTCAATATACACTTATTTTTTTACATGTGAAGGTGGTCGCGTAAACTTTGATTTACCATGCATACACCATTGTATATTATCAATAATAATCATAAAGTTAATGATATTCTTCCCTGTACAATCTTGATCAAAATATTTCATATCAATGTTGTTTTTCTTCCTTAAGTCTAAAGACCTGACGGAATTATGTTAAAATGACGACATAATTAAAGTGTATTGATCAAGTTTCTGTTTTTGTACTTTCACATAGTAATATGCACATAGAAATTCATATATGATAAAAATAGTTACCACTACAATCTGGTTCTTTGGAATCTCTACTGTGTTTGTGATTATCATAACACAGACTTCTGATGTATTTGAACATTTCATTCATTGGTTTGAACGCCATTTGTTCTAGCAAAGAGCCTATTTCTTCAGCAATATGCTCCTCTGATGTCACTGTCTTGATTTTTAGATGGTCGTATGGTTTTTCAGCGTCGTGTCCTTGCAAACATGTAACAATGATAACGGACAGTCCTTGTGGTAGAAATGTATTGAGTTCACGTCTCAGGCCCTTGTATTCTTGAAAAACTAAGACTGTTGTCCAGTCAAAAGATTTTTTATTTACAATCAGAAACTCTTTAGCATTTCTATAATTGTAACTTTGTTTAGTGGTGGAGCTTTCGTTTCTCATAACTAAGTTTCCTACATTCAGGCTCATCTTGTCTCCTTGCATTTTACACAGATAAAGTTTAACATTATTGCAAATGTTACGTTCTGGAACAGTCTTTCGGACCAGGTTTGATTCACCAAATGTGTCTAACAAAAGTTTGTTTGTCCTCTCAATTATGTTATATATGCGTTTGTCTGCATTCTTAAACCGAGGATAGCATTCCGGATTCACTTTGTAAATTGTCACTTCCATATCACCGTTAAGATGTAGACATTCATGTATACTTGAAATAAAAGAAACGCCAAGAAATTGTAATGTAAGTTAAAAGTAAACATTTTGTTTAAATATCAACTTGAAGTAGTTATAAAAGTAGTAGAATAAACTGAATTTTTGACGTAGCAAATTCTCAAAAAAGAAAGTGAATGCATTCGGTACGTTAATTCTAAAATTAACAAAAAATATTAAATATATATATCGAATTTATATTATAAGCCACGTATGTTGGATATTTCGTTAAATTTTAAGATGCCTAATACTTTGTAACAATTCAAGATGTTTATGTTTTTCTGATCAAACTTTATTTTTTTCGTATAGATTTCTATATTTATCATCCAAAATTTTGTTGGTAAATTTATGGAAATTGTAAAACGACCGAATTGTCGTTTTGCCAATATCACTTTTTCTGCAAGAGAAAGAAATTATAAATTTGTCCCAATTTAGGTGTTTGTCACTTCTAATAATGAGTTTTAAAAAAATACGTAAGAGCAATTACAGCAGTTTTAAGTATTTCTTTACTTAAAAAGAAGACAGAAATTAAGCATTTTGTAACTTAAAAGTGATTGATTTTAAACGAAATGTTTTTAATGCAAAAAATGCCTACCCTACCCTTTTAACACTTGTTTAACCGATTCGCTTTTTAAAAAAACTTTATTTAAAAATATCCCTAAATTTTCCACAATGAGGGAGTGATTCTAGCCTATTTGAATACTCTTCAAAGTGGAGAATAGTGCATCAGGGGTGTACAACCTTAAGTATTTATTTAAGATATTAGATGAGATGTACATTGACCATGCTTTGAAAGTCCTCCGAATAATAAAATACGATACAATATACAACTTTATTAGTTCGTAAATAAGTACATATGTGGGTAACAAATAGAAAATATTTGCATTCTTAACTTTTAACCCTTTCGCTGCCAGAGGGTTATTGTTTTATTGATCACCTATTTGCCAGAGTGTTTTCTAAAAAATTACTATATTATTAATTAATATAATTATTATTATTATTTGTTATTAGTATAATAATAATTATATATGTTTCCAAATATGCTAGTATAATAATAATTATTGTTGATGGTATAATTTTCTTTATATTTATTATTATTTTTATTATTATTATTAATTTATTATTATTATTATGATTATTATAGAAACGGCTAAAACCGTCCATATGGCAAATACGCCGAAAATAACAGGGACGGCTTAAGCCGTCCCTATGGCAGAGAATGGGTTAAGTATAATAATCAAATATAAATAGATAGAAAAGTTTCTATGTTTTACCTTAACATAGAATTTTGTATGGGGATAGCCCGTATAATTATACATCTATCTCAAACATATTGTATTATTGATAATGTATAGATTCTATTTCAAATAAAATGAAACACATGGAAAGCGTGAAAAAATAACGTCAACCATAACTGTTACTATGGAATGTTATTGAAATGTACGACACAAAACTAACGGATATATCCTGTTTTTATATACGCTTATATATAAGATTATTATTACGATTTCGCTTATAGATATATTTGCAGACTTAATAGTACAGTCGATTGCCAACGTGTTTATGAACGTCAAATATTCCCCATATTTTAATTGTGGGCTAAAGAGAACATTTTAGATAAATGCATATACCACAATATTAATATATGCGTACTTGTTTATGGTTAAGTATGGCAGTAATATAACATCTTCAGAGTTTATCTTAAAAACCCTAGACTTTGAAAAATCGTTACAATCGTTAGCCGGGCTTTATGTGTGCAATTTTCTTTTATTATAAGGTAATTCAGATTTACAAAAAAAGAAGATCAAAAATGAACAAAATCAATATATACGAATGGGCAAAAAATTTGGAAATTGTACTCAAAACTACTAGATTTTTAAAAGAAGAGGCAATATCAAATGTTTTAAAACATTATCAATATGCAAGACAAGCTTAATCATCAAAGTTTAATTTACCACTCCCCAATTTCGGTGTATACTATTTCCGCCCGTCCTTCCCCCCTGTGTCCGTCCGTCCGTCCACCCCGTCCGTCTCTTAGCATATTTCCTGTCCGGCCTGTATCATTTTGAAACTGGTGAACGGATATTAAAAGTACTTTGCAGAACTGTTCACCATTAATAAAGAGAAACGGTGCAGAGCGCAGGTTTGACTTTTCTAGGACGACCAATCTAGTACCAACAGAGGTGGTTGTCTTCGGAACAGATTTTTAGCTTTTGGATGCTCGAGGTTGCGACCTTTAGGTACCTCGATAGAACATTTTCAATATCACCATCTCAGCTTGTATAAATAGGTATAATTATGCATGTAATCATATACGTTTTAAATTCTCTTCATCTTCGTTCCGTCAGATAACAATCCCGTATATTGACTTTAGACATCGATTATTTTCTCGCTAAAATGTATTAGAACGAATG